TGTTGGCAAGGCTGAAGCCCTTAATGTTTACATCCTGAGAATCATCATGTCTTAAGTAATCACAGGCAGCGATGTAGCAAGTGGAAGTTTGTTATTCGTTTCCCATATGGTTTTCAACAAGTCTCTTAATTTTCCTCTGCTGCCAATTCTTCTTTGGGCAAAAATATTTCTCTATTCGAGGGAATAACACCAAGACATCCCAGGCCGCTCGGACAAGCTGTGCTACATAAACATGTGACCCAGTATTGTAAGGGCTGATTTTATGCGGCCGAGTCAGCATGGGAAAATCTTAAGTGCACCTGGAAAGAGACTGGGGTGTAATTTCCAGAGATGGGTTATTGAATGACAGCTTCCCCTTCGGTCCAGTGAGAAATTTAATTTGCTGAGGACTCAACACAGGAAGCATTTGCCGATTAAAAATATGTCTAAACAGATGTTCTGCTTAGCCTGGAAGGAGGATCTTAATGCAACTGTCATTATTGGATTTTCTTGGATTACTACTATCTGGAATTGGAGTCCAAATAGAAGGATGTAATTATTTATTATGGCCAAGAGTCCTGCATTTGAAGAGGAGCTCAGGGGCAGGGGCGTCTGAAAGGATTTAACACGCTGGGGGTGGAGGAGGGAGGGGGATAAAGCCCATTTAAATTCTCTGGCTCTGGGAGGGGCCCTTTCCTCTCTGACAGAACAAAACGGCATAACTGTTCAGTGTTCCATTTCCGGCTGAAGGCACAGCCATGTCATAAACAGAACCAGGCCTGGTCCGGCATTCTCAAGCAAGCAACCGCAATCTTCACATTAAGCAGAGGGTCACTCCTACACACGAAAGTATGCACCTGACTCTCCAGCCATCTGCAAAATCCTCATCCCATGACGGATGGACGAATCCACACCTTACCTGCCCCAATCCTGAAAAACTCAAGAGCAGCCCCTTGGTAAAAAGGAAGATAGTAGATTATCCTACACAAGGGTTCTCAACCTGGCTGCATAGCTAAGAGTCAGATAGAAGCTTTTTAAAATGCTGGTGCGGTCCTCTGCCCAAGGATTGCGGCTCAACAGGCCTATCTTAGAGTAAAGGCATCTGCAGTTTTTAAATCTCCCCACTGTTGACCAAGCTCAGTGAAGTCTGGGAACCACTGATAGGGCTCAAAGGTTAAGACGAAGGTATTTGGGAGCAAGGGAACTTAAGCTCAAGAAAAGTGCTGCCATTTGCTACCTGTGTGGCTTTGAATAAACCACTTCCCCTTCTGAACCTGACTTCCAGTGAGCATTGAGCTGGCCAAAGGACATCGAACACCTGCGGTGAGGAGGGGCTTGGTGTGAGCTACAGTGATTACTATGACGGTCTGGATTGGGGACAGGTTAAAATGTGGGCCTGAAGCTAGTCGGGCTTGGTGATTACACCCAAATGCACAGCCACAGGTGACATGCCAGGGGCATTTTGCACCAAAGTTTGTGGGCCCCTTGTTCCTCGGTGCAACCAGATTCCATTATTCTTTACTGCAGCACAAAGGCCTGAGGGCCTACGACTGAAGGGAAAGTTCCATTCTCTTTTATGAATATGATTCTAGAAATACAGTTCTGTCCAGCCACAGTTCCACTGTGGAGCAGTGACAGACTCCATTTCATCCATCTCATTCTCGGCCACCGAAAGCTAAGCTCCCATCTCTAAGGGAAGGGGCTTCTCTGACCAAAGCCTCTGCCAGGGGGTGCTGAGAGAGCTGTTCAGCAATTCTCTCTCTCTCTCTCTCTCTCTCTCTCTCTCTCTCTCTCTCTTACACACACACACACACACACACACCACACACACACACACACACACACACACACACAATGCTGCAGGCACAAATCCCCACCGTCAGGGCTGAAGGGAGCCACATAATGCCAGGAAATAAACCTGTGGCTGAAACCAGCAGCCCGGACGCTTCCCCCAGAGTCTTTCTCCTGCTTGGGCGGTCTCTTGTTCTCGGGGAGCGGAAGGGGGGTAGGTTGCAATTAAAGAGGAATCTGAGATTGGCACACTTATCTATCATTCAAGCAAAAACAAGAGGCACACCAGGCTGGTGCCCAACAGTGTCCTGAAGGGTCGGGATGGGAAGGATCAGCCCATCCTCACCTCACCTTTGGTGCCTCCTTCCTCCTCTGGATTGCCCTGGATGCCTAGAGACCCGCTTGTCTGCCCCTATGATGGAGAGTAGAGACTGGCCTATCCTTGACATCACTAACCTCTGTGAACAAACCAAGATCATCTGAGAGGTTGCAGATTATGGGCACAGCCAGTTTCAGAGGTATATGTGTAGAGAGGGCAGCGTGGTCCTCACCCTCCTTAGAAAGCCCAAGACCTTTTATTGCACTGTGGGTCCCATGTGCAGCCCAACTAGAGACAGAATTTCAATGGGTTGCAGCAGACTTGTTCCTTCCTGTCCTCTGTAATTGTGTTTCTGTGCAGCTGTGGAACAGCTGTGGAATCCCAGTCCAGAGGTAAATGATGCACTCTCAATGTTGGATAATATAATTCTTGGAAGTGGAGGTGGGGAGGAAAAAGTGGAAGAGCTATATTCATGGGCACCTTTTAAGTTCCAGACACCCGGCTATGCACTTTACATAAATATAATTTCTAATTCTCCCCGAGTCTCATAAGGAGATGAATAACTTCATCAAAGCCATGGCTACTAAATGGGTGAGCTGGGATTCAAACCCAAGCGTGTCTGACTATCCCAGTTTATTTGGTTGGGTCATTTTATACCTGCAAAAACGGTAAGCATAAAAAACTCTAATAATTTCTATTGCTGGTGACAGAGAAGATGCAGTGATAGTTTCCAGGTATGGCCCCCCACAAGTCCCCTCATTCCGTGAGCTCACGCTGATTCTCGCATGCTGTGGAATCCATTTTGAATGTGGCAGAAGCAGCATGTTTGGAGTTCTGAATTCCAGGCCTTGGATGGTCTGCATCTTCTGCTTCCTCCCTTGGGGAAGCCAGTTGCCATGTTGTAGAACTTGTCAGTCTAGACAACTAAATGGGGAGAGGGTCCATGTGGAGGTACACTGGGGGACCAGGGGTGACTAAAGCTTTCCTGGACCTTCCAGCCCCATTCAGCTGCCAGATGGATGCCTTCAAGTTAGTGACCCCAGGCAACGTCAGTCCAAGAGCTGCCCCACTGAGCCCAGTCAATCCACAAAGTGATGAAAGAAAACAAATCACCTTTTGAAGTCATCAAGTTTAAAGGTAGTTTTGCCCAATAGTCAATCATACGGAGCAGAAAGAGAAAATGAAATAGGCAAATCCCAGAAATGCATATCTAAATTACTGGCAAACCCAGAAAAAGATGCTCAAAACCACCACCAGTCAGAGAAATATAAATTAAGTAACAATAAGCTGTTGTTCACTGGTTAAAAACACTGACAACACCTTGTACTAGTGAGGATCTGGGGAAAGGGGCACACTTATAAGTTGCTATGGAAATGTGAATTGTCACAACTGTAGACTTGCAATCTAGCAACATTTCTTAAAAACATACGAAGCGTTAAAGGCTATCTGTGCGGGAATGTCAGGCATTCATGGAGTCAAGAACCAAAAGTGAAAGGAATGCTAATTAAGAAGGGAATGATTGAACACATTATGATCCATCCGTACCAGGAATATTTTGCAACTATTCAAAAGCATAAATTTAAGTTAAAACAAATACCTTGGAGGGGTTTCCCATGAAGTATTGATGAGAAAAGCATGATGCATTTAAGAATATGTATCAAATTTTAAACAATGACAAAGCCTATACCTGTATATATGCTTATGTCTGCTTACATACGTACATTTCTATATAAGTATATATGTCAACATAGGTGCATGGTACACACAAAGTCATTAGCAGGCATTATCTGAGAGAGAGTAGAGGGTGGTAGGGGAAAAAGAAGATGAAGGGGGTACTAAATTAAAGGGAAAAGAACAAAAGGAAACACTAAGAAATAGTATATGATGACATCATCACATTTATGCATTTGTGAATGTGTGTGAAATTATATATACACGTGAATATGTACGAAAGTTATCATTAAAGCAAAAACATAAAGTAAAGCAAATAATTATTTCTATTTCATCGCTACATCTTTGAAACAAAGGATTCTGGTATTTAAAAATTATTCCCGCCAGGTATGGTGGTACATGCCTATAATCCCAGCACCTCCGGAGGCTGAGGCAGGAGGATCAGGAGTTCAAACCCAGCCTCAGCAATTTATTGAGGTCTAAGTAACTCAGTGATACCTGCCTCTAAATAAAATGCAAAAAGGGGCTGGGGATGTGGCTCAGTGGTTGAGCGTCCCTGGAATCACTCCCCAATACCAAAAAAAATTTATTGCTTTGCTCTGCAGTTAGCTTGATGTAGAAGAAATGCCATTGCTGACCATAAGCCGAATCCTGAAGGCCACAGCCAGAGGAGAGTCATGCAGGCTCTCTCCTCCACCCTCACTCTGAATGGGAAAGGCTTCTCCAAAATTGAGGTGCCTCCAGTGATCTCCAAGCTAGAAGCTCTCAGGACTAGTAGGCCACACTCATGTCTGAGCCTTGTGTGCAGACAGGCCATGGGAGTACTTCCAGGCTGACAGGTGGTCCCTGTCCACAAACAGCCTACAACCTCACCCGTCCCCTCTCTAGGGGTTCTGGTCTAAGCCACCCCTCCATCCCCACCCCAGCTGTCCCTCTTCCTGGCCTCCCAGGACCTCTCATTCCCTGAGATGCCTGATTCCCCATGTCTCGTCATCTCTCAAGCCAGGGACTGGGGAAATGTGGAACTGATTAACAGGTATGAGTTCTTCTTTGGGAGTGATTAAAAAGTTCTGGAACTAGATAAATTGTGGGGATAGTCACACCACATTGTAAATGTACTCAATGCCACTAAAGGGTACACTTTAAAATGGTCAATATGGTAAATTTGCAGTTATCTGGTTTTTGCCATTAAAAAATATAAAAGGTACCCAAAGACCTGGTGGGGCCTCACATACATTACCCTTTCTAGCTTCCTGGCTGCTGGTATTCAAGGCGGTAGCATTTGGCCAGCTCTCAGATGGCTGCTCTTCAAGGCCACCTATAAGAACAGAGAAAAGAAAGAGGAAGACACATCAGCCTTCTCTGCACCAGCTTCAGGAAGGAAGAACCATACCTGGTCATCAGCAGTGATTTGTTCCATCAAGATTTATTGAGCACCTACCATGTGATGGGCACTCTTTTAGATACTATAGCAAAAAAAGAGAACCTACTTTTTTTATAAACATGTATATCATTCACAAATTAATCAATTAATCTTGATCAACTCAAGAGCACTCAGAATCAAATTTACAAAGAGGCAAGCCAAAAGTCTACTTTCTGACCCCTACCTCCATAAGAAAGGCTCAAAGCATATACAACCAGAAGAAAGAGATGTTATTCTGCATTTATGTATCATCTGTCAAAATGCATTCTACTTTCATATGTAACTAATTAGAACAAATAAAAAGGAAAGAAAGCCCAGAAGCGAGAGGAAGCTGTCTTGTCTGGGGTCCACCCAGAAGGAATGCGGTGGCTGGTGCTCTGGGTGTTCTCTAGGAATTCTGGTTTCCCTTGGGGGAGAGTAACCTTGAAGAAACTGCTGTTCACTATATAATTAGATCCTGTGGGTTCTGCATCCACCAAGGACAGTGAGGCTGGTGTACGTTTGCCAGTGGCCACCATCCATACACCTGGTTTACATTCCTCTCCACCAGGACAATGTCAATCACCAAGTGCTTCCTAGTCCTACTGTGAGTGTCAGGTGCAGTTCCAGGCACTGTGGGTCCAGCTGTGAACAAGACGATGGGGTTCCTGTCCTCAAGGTGTGTACATTCTAAAGAGGAAGCTGGACAATAAGCAGGTGAGAAAACAGATGAAGAAAATAACTGCAGGTTCAGAAAGTGCTCTGAAGATCCAGTGCAGTGTGTGCCCAGGGCGACTGCAGGAGTCATGTGTAAGGTGGTTGGAAAAGGCCTTCTGGAGAGGTGACACTGGGATTGAAATCGGAGACCAGCAGGGTCCGGCCACATGGAGATCTGGGCCAGAGCATCCTCAGGAGAAGGAAGGATAGAGAAAGAACCTGGATCCAGAGTGAGCTGGCCATGTGGAGGGGGGGAAGGCCTGAGAGGGAGGCAGGATCCACAGGGCCCTGCCAGTCATGCTGTGACCTTTGTCACAACCCTGTGGAAGTATTAAAACAGCAGAGGGAGGAGGGTGTATGTTTTTCTAAGATTGCTCTGGGGCAGGCAGAAGTGGAAGGCAGGTATCACTTAGGAGACTTGCCCTGGTAGGTGGGAGGACAGCACACTGCAGTAGAGGTGCTGGCACCTGCTGATCAGGAACCTAGCTGGGGGCAGAGCCAATAGCAGGGGCTGGAAGAGTGGATATAAGGGTGAGAGGGACCACCAATGACTGGTGGGCAGGGCACCAGGGAGCAGACTTGTGCCCAGAAGAGACAATTGCACAGATGAAAGCCACATGGAGGCTCTCAAAGGATAATTTATTTACAAGTATATATATATATATATATATATATATATATATATATATTATATATATATTTTTTGTATATTATATATATTTTTATAATAAATATATATATATATATATATATTACACACATATTTCATTTGTTTAGAAACTTAGAGTCTATAAAGCATTTCCCCTGTATTCTCCTTTGATCCCCATTAGAACACTCTGTGGTAGGTGGGAGTGGAACCCCCATTTTACAGAGGAAAAGATACCCTAAGATGATTAGCCCAGAGTCACCCACCCAATAAGGGGAGCTGAGGGGTCAGGACGCAGTGTCCTGGCCAGAAACCCCTTGATCTTCCCTGTGCCACAGCCCATGGGTGTTCAGTGCTTCTCAGCATAAAATCTAATCCCTGGGCCACCGGAGCCCACCGGGTGACCCCCACACAATTCCTGATGGATGCCTGACCAGCAAGCCCTTTCCCTCCCTCCCAGGACTCTAGCAGGGCTGCAGCTGCGGGGCCTCCTGTAGAGAAAGGTCCCGGTAACGCCAGGCAGGGACAGGAGGCTCCACACTGCATCCTGCTCCTTCTGCTGCCTTTCTGGCCAACTCGGAATCCACTCACACACTCCCTGCAGCTGCCGGGGCCTCCGCTGCCAGCTCCCGGCCCTCAGGGGATTCTTCCAGTTGCGATATCATTTCCTCTCAGGCTAAAGGTCGGGGGAAATCCTGATGGTCTGAAATCCTTCACCAGCCAAGGAATGTGCCATCTGTGGAGGGAAGGTGAGCTGCAGCCGGGCTCCCGGTCCGGCTCGGCCTCCACTCTCTGAGCAACTGCAGACAAGAACTTGGGCCGTAGCATCTTTCGTCTGTCAAATGGGCTGTTGCAAGGACCAAATGAGGTAATAGGTTTGTTTAGGCATTCGTTCATTCAACAAATATTTATCCAGCACCTGCTACATGCCAGACACTGTTTCTGCTGCTCAGGATACGACACTGCAGAAACTCTACCCTGACCTCATGGAAATTATATTCTGATGCAGGGTAGAGAAAAAAGCAATAAACAAATAGACAGCTAACTATTCAAGACAGCTGTTGATAAGTGCTATGAAGAAAATAAGTGAGGGCAAGGGGGACAGGGGTTTTCCATTTCAGGTAAGGTAGAAAAGCAGAAGTCTGGAAAGAACAGGGAAAGTCTGTGGCTATAGGGGAAGAGCATTCTGAACTGAGGGGCCAGCAGGTGCAAAGGCTGGGGCGGGAGTGTGCCTGGCAGTAGGGAGATGAGAGAGTGGTAGGCCGTGGGGTCAGTGGGCAGTGGGGGTCTGCAGGGCCAGCCCATGTGGGGCCTTGCCAGTCATTTTCAGGACTTGGACTTTTGAGTGATGTAGATAGGAGCCAGAGCACAATGAAAGAGCTTTGTAATTGCACCAGCTTTGTATGTGACAGGGGTTATTAAAAGTGGACAAGGCCAGGCATGGTGGCACATGCCTGTTAATTCCAGTGGCTTTGGGGGCTGAGGCAGAAGGATCATAAGTTCAAAGCCAGTCTCCGCAATTTAGTGAGGCCCTAAGCAGCTCAGCTAGACCCTGTCTCTAAATAAAATATTAAAAGGTAGGGGTAACCAAAAAAGAAAAGATGGGCATGGTGTACATGGTGTACATTACCCCAGCTACTCAGGAGGCTGAGGCAGGAGGATCACAAGTTTGAGGCTAGTCTAGGAAACTTAGTGAGAACCTGCCTCAAAATAAAAATTAGAAAAGGGCTATGGATGTGCTTAGTAATAGAACTCCCCTGGGTTTAATCCCCAGCATTAAAAGAAAGAAAAACAAAAAGGTGAATAGAAGGGGATTGAAATAAGATTCCATACAGCAGTGGAAGTCCAGTATTGATGGTCAGCAATTTAGACTTCCTTGGTTCCTACAAAGGGAAAGATGGAGGACAGGGGGAGAGCACTAGCTGTGTCTGGGAGCAGTACGGGCTCAAGAGGAGCCACAAGCTATAATGGAGAGAGCCAGGGCTGGGAGGGACTAAGAGCTCAGCAGCAGATAGGGGAGAGGAGAAGATCCTGATTTACTTGGGTTTCTGGTGCTTGGGGTTAGAGTAGGTGCAGAAATCCTGGAGGTAGGGAAAACCAGGTGCCCTAAGTACATGAGCCCATCATGTACTAAGTACCAGTCATGGTGCTGATCATGTGCTAAGAACAGCACTAAGTACTTTCCTTGGAGTTTTCCAGTTCTAGCCTCATGGAGACCCACTAACACAGGGACCATTGACAGATGAGGGCCTCTGTGTGTGACTTGCCTGTTCTGAGGGTGCAGAGATGGTTAATACTGATAATGGCTAGAAGTGGGTGCTGTCTCATCTCACACCTGTGCTCCTTCCCCAGGAATGAGGACAAGCACAGGGGAGGCTCCTGATAGGGGCCATTTATTCCCAAGGGTCATAAGGCATTGCCCAGTGGGTCTATGGAAGACACCTAAAGACATGGTCGGGGCCATAGTAGTTAAGAACATAAATTCCTCCTCTGTCCTTATCCTCAATAGATGCAGGCTCCATCTTTTTTCCCCCCAGAAGGGCAGCAAACCTCAAGTTTCCAGTGTGGTCCAGTAGGATCTATTTGGAGTTCATGCTCTTCATGTCTTGCCACTTCCCACTCCCGTTGCAAGCTTAGCCACAGGAAGCACCTACAGTGACTGAATTTCTACTTTCATCTTCTTGTTCAGCTTTCTTAGCTACAAATACCTCTTCACCTGCCCAAATCCTACTGGTCCTTCAAGTCTCCATTCAGACACCACTTCTTCTGGGAAGCTGCCAGGTACTCCTCCTCCATCAGAGCCCTTATCCTCTGCCACTCCCATAGCTCCCTGGCTCATTCACATCCCTCAGCACAAGGTACTGGGATCTCCTTTGTAGTGCGCAGAATCCTGTGGGCTAGTTTTTAGCTTCTAGCATCTTGAAGGAAGAGGCCTGGCACATAGCAGGTACTCAGTAACAATCGATAGATGGGAGAATAAGAAAACAAAAGAGCCAGTTTTAAAAGAAGGACTAGAATTCCTAGCTCAGTTTCACCATTAGAAACATTTGTCCTCATCAGCTTTTATGGAGAGGGGGAGGTAGCTATTCCTGGAACAATGGCTCTCAACCTTGGCTGCAATATTGAATGATCTAGGGAAAAAAATTTCGAGAAAAAAAAAATACTGAGATCTGGGCCGTACCCCCAGAGGCTCTTATTTAACTGGTTGGGACGGCGTCTGGCCACAGGAACTTTGAAAATCTTCCTGGGTGATCTTGAGGCGCAGGCAAGGTGGAGACTGGCCACTCAGAATCCTCATCTCATTTCCTTACAGCTGATCTCCCGTCTCCAAAGCTCACCAGGAATGGAAGATGTGGAAATGGAGGCAGACGCATCAAACTCTAGGAAAAGCCATTCTCACCTCTAAATAGATGAAAAGTGTGCCTCTGTTTTCTGAAAAAGCTAGCTAATGTGTAAGATAGGTGAGGCTCAGGCTGGGCCTGCAGCTGTAGGCACCATAGAACAAGGAAGAAGATAGAGCCTGATGTAGACAATGACTGGGAGCAAAGTGGGC